TGGACTAATAGCTGAAATTGACCAAAATGAACCACAGGTTACAGTCTAATTCTTCCCTGAGTAGTTGCAAGCCTTCAGCAGAGTCCAACGTTCCAAAATAGTTCCATCAGACAGATTCCTGGTGCTTCCTACTGCACCAGCTTCCCAGAATCCCCCCTCCCTCCCTCTCTCTCTTTCTCTCTCTCTCTTACTCTCTTTCTCTCTCTCTCTCTCTCTCTCTCTCTCTCTCTCTCACACACGTATGTATGTATAAAAAGTATATGATAATGTGAAATTAAGAGTAATCACTGAAAACCATATAATTCAATCCTAATTTTGATTTTATGAAATGTTGCTAGTCTAATTTTGTTCTTGGGTTTAAGTTCTTTCTTAGCCAAGCCATAGTCTTTTTTTTTATTATTATTATTATTTTTTATCCTCACTCAAGGACATTTTTCCATTTTTTGTTCAGATAGAGTGGGAGGGAGAGAGAGGAAGAGAGAGAGAGAAACATCGACGTGAAAGGGACACTTCGAGTGGCTGCCTTCCCACATGACCAACCAGGGCCGGGGACAAAACTGTAACTGAGGTACCCTTAGCAGGAACCGAACCAGGGTTTCTCTGGACCGCAGGCCGAAGCTCTAACTGCTGAGCCAAACCAGCCCATAGTCTTTATTTCAGACTTTCTGCTTCTCTGACCTTAACAACCTGTAAGCTGTTGTTGGCCACTAAAATGACTATGTCTTTGTCAACTTCCAGAATTCTCATAGTGGTTATCAGGGGTTCAGGGAGCTGAATATATAATGGAAGTGAGAAGGGTGAGCAAAAAGTTTAAATAGTTTAGTGTATAAACTGGTTTATATAAGGAGAGTCTCCTTTTTTTTTTTTTCATATGTTCATGGCTTAAAGGATTTTAGCTTTGGCAGTGTTTTGAGAATCTAGACATGCAGTCTATTTATAAAGGACTCAGGGGATTGGACTCAATAAGAGTAAATCTAAAGTCGAAGGAAAAAGTCTAGACATTGAGGATGGTCACATCCACAAGCCATTAGGAAACTGCCCTATCTTTTGGTTTCATCTTAGGAGCTTTTGTTTTGTCTTGAGAAAGTGGATACTCTTCTCTAAAACTAGGGCTTACAAATACGCGGCTACCAAGGGGAGGGGAGGGAGCAGGGCAGTTCTGGAGACTGCATGGCAATAGAAAGACTACCAACCTCCCCTCCCCCCAAATGGACCCCTATGAATTTAGAAATTTTAAACCCTATATTTTCTTATTTCTGGTTATGACCTTTTCTTTCCTACATAAAGAAGACCCTTTAACATTTTTTTGTAAATCTTTTATAATAAGAATTTCTAGCAGAAGTACACTTTTCTTTAAATGAATTAAAATTATGGAATAGTATCTATACTAATATATGTATTTTTGATATTATACCATAACACAATGTTTTAACTTTAATACATCCTTTAAAAACTTAGAGTAAAATTTCATACTGTTCTCACTGTTCTGTTATTGTCAATGCTAAAATTTATTTTTTAAGGAAACATTTACATTCTCTTATAATTCTATTTTGTTGCTAGATATTTATCTAATTATGCACTAATTTGCATGTACGGAATATTTTTTAATGGAATATATTTTTTCTCTGTAAGTATACAATATAATTGTGACATTGTGTTATTAACTATGTCCTCATTGTATCATTCTTATACTGAAAATTGCTGTATTCCATGCATTTGTATTTGGTATTGTTATTTATTGAATAATGTTTAATTTCTGGTTCGGAATAACATTAGTACCACTTACCAATTATAGATGGAATTCATGCTAATTCCTGGGGTCTCATATACTTTAAAATAGCTAAAGCATTAGAAATGTTGCCACTCAAACCCTAAAGTTATTTTCATTCTAAGCCTGCTTAGTATGATGAGTCCTGGAGAGTTTCAGCTAGAGACCTGCTGTGATGCTTTTCCTCTCCTAGAACAAACTCTAGGACCTTGGGAAAGATTTGAGGGGCAGGCAACTGAGAAAAAGACTGCAACCAGGAATTCCATTTCCATTCAAATTATTCACCAGTCAGAGTAAAAGTAAGATACTTGCAGATGGACAGAAAGTGGGCGAACACTCACATCTGAATTCCCTATTCGAGAAAAATGCTTGAGAAATGAAACTCATGCTTGAGAAATGAATCACATATTTTTAAGAGTAAAAGTATTTATAAAATATAATTTACTTTTAAAAGTCTGGTGAATCTAATAGCGTATTTTTATCCCCATAGTTGGAATTGATCCCTATATTTTACAAATACAATTTAGCAAGTTATATTTATATAGACAAATATATTTAAAATGGAATTATATTTTATTTACCGAGACATATGTATTATTTTGGACAGATTTTCCTTTTGAACAGAATAAAAGAAACCTATCCTAGTTCTTTTAAATCTATGAAATTTATTGCTTTGACTTTATGAATATCCTATTGATTTAGTTAGAAGGATCCTGAGATTTGAATCAGGATCTTGATTTTTCAGTCTGTCATTTACTACTAGAAGCAAGTTACTAAACTGCTGTTATTCCCCAGTTTTCTTTATCTTTGAAATATAAACCCTATATTATAGATTGTTAAAGGAATTAATGGAAATATAAATATGTCTTAACAGGTTATTTATCATAAACATCACCCATTAAGAATCTTTCCCTAGGAATGATAATCACTGTATTTTCAAGATCAAGGTTATAAATGGGAGAGAGAGAGCTGCTATGCAGGGAGGGGAGTTGTGGGGTAGGAGACGTCAACAATACTGTCTTAGATGTGGGCACTCATTTTGTATATTTTTCTATGTCTTCAATATTTCTTAATTGTTAAAAAAAATTTCCTTATGAAATACATAAAACTTTCCCATGAATATATATTAACCAATAAAATGTCTATCATTTTTTCTGTCAAAGGACAGTGCTTACTAGGACACACTGAAATGTATGCTTTATAATTCTTAGCTTTTTTGGGACCTGCTTGTAAGAATATCAATTTCGTCTTGCCATTCTAGTTATGTTATATTGCACAAAGTATTCATTTCAATTGTGTATATTAAGTAGATGCAGAGGTCACAAACTGTTTTAGGATTGAACCCTTCTCTTAGAAGTACTGTTTGTTCCCCACAATATTGGTCTTCATGGTGAGTTAGTCTCATGAAAAATCAATAAATTTTGTCACCCTGTACTTGCATCTCTGCATGACAACAGTGCTGAGTATCAGCTGCATCCTTTGGCTGGACCATGTGCTCCAGAGTTTCCTACCCTCTCCACGCTCCCTGATACTGAGGTCAAATGTCATTTGCCTTTTATCGTCATAAATGTTTATATTAACTGTTTGGCCCCTATATGCAGTTTAATTTATAACTGTTAGAGAAATTATATTCTGTACATGTCACAGTCTTCTATTGATATTTTGCTGTGATATTTTAATTTGATTTTACATATTTTCAGTACTTTATAAAGTACACTTATACTTTCTTTATAAACGATGACATAAAGTAGCCTTTTGTCAACTCCTGCTTCTCTCATATCCGAACATGTCACCAATGAAATAGTTCTCAAATCTAGTTCTTCCTCTCCAACCTTACAGTTACTGCTCCACCTCAGGCCCTCATACTGTCTCCCCTGGAATTCTTTCATTGTTCCCTAACCGTGCTCCTTGCCTCTGGTCACAGTCCTTTCAGTTCATCCTCATGTGTATTGCTAGAATGGTGTATCATAGTACAGATCTCATCTCATCATCCTGCTGTTTCAAATTCTTCTAAGTCTCTCCATCTTCTATGGCATGGGTCAGCAAACATTTCCTTAAAGGTCCAGATGGTAAATATTTTAGGCTTTGCCAGCATAAGTTTCCTGCCACAAATAATTGACTCTGCTGTTGTTGAGTTGAGCACAAAAGCAACCATAGACAACATATAAATAAATGGGCATGGCTGTGTTCGAATAAAACTTATTTATAAAACCAACCCCTGGTCCAGGGTTACAGTTTACCAGCCTCTGTTCTCTGATATAAAGGACTCTCCCTGCCTTCCCTCCCATCTCATCTACTACTCTCACGTCCTATTTCCTACACTTTATTCAAAAACACCATTCAAATTCTTAAACTTTTCTGAGCACAACATCCTTCCGTATCCAATTTTTAAATTCTTCTCATTTAAGCTGCTTTTTTCACAACTAGCAAAATATTGTTATATATTTTGTAAAATGTTAATTCTCAAATGATGGTCTCGTATATAAACATGAGGCTGTTTAGCCACTTGCTGACATCTTTATAAATGTATTGTATAGTTGTAAGTATTAAAAACACTTTTTAACAGGTCTTTCATAAAAATCATAGCCTTGATACACCCATGTTATAGTTTGACTACTATCAGCACATTATCCCAAAATCTCAGAATAAGATCACTGTGGGAAAGTAGTTTTGTTTCGGCCTTATCGTATAAAATCAAGGTTTATTGAAAGAACAATTTTAGATAGTCAGTAGGAATGGAAAGCACAAACTTGTGTTGTGTCCTGTCTTCATTACAATTGCTCTTTTCCAATACAATTAAGAGAACAGAAAAGATTTGGTTTTAGGATATGACTTGCCTGAAGTATTGGACTTCAGGTTGTGATTTAAATTCTAATAGGTCATACTTCACATGTTTCCATATGCTAGCAAAGAGTATATGTTGTTAAATATGTGGGTTTGCCTCATTATTAAGTTTCAGTTATTTAGGCTATTGCTGATTGATACAGTGTTGGGTAGTAAACAAAAAATGAAAAAAATGTAATCATATTAATGAAAAGTTTGATTTGATTACTAAGGCGAGAGGGCAGATTGGTAGAGCTGCTAAGATAGAATTGTGTTAAAATGTGGATGGGTGTTAATATTGGTTACAATAAAGTTCTCTAAATTTTCTGATGTTCACATAACAATGTATTAATTTAAAGCTCTATCTATTAAAACTGACCTGTAAATGTCTGTTATGATTGGTTTTTAGCCACCAGCTGAACAGGCCAGAGCCAGACTACAGCTGGTTCTTGAAGCTGCTGGTAAGTATTGATGATTAACTTTATTTAAATGAAAAAGCTTAAAATAAATCCTGGCATGCTTATAAGGTGGGACAAAAAGCAAAACACCTATTTTCATATATCCTCACAAATTTATGAGATATAGATTATATGTCTGGCCATATTTTACCTTAAATAGTTATTGCTGCAGTATAGTACTAAAAGGTTATTCTTTACCCTTTTATTTATAAAATGTGCTTTATTTCTGTTTTAATTTTGATGACATTTAATTTATTGATGTTTGTCTTTTATGGATAGTACTTTTGTGGAATGTTTAAGAACTTTTTGGCTAACTTCACATCATGAAGATTTTTCTCCTGAAAGTTTTATATTTTTACATTTTAGATTTAAGACTATGATCTATTTTGATTTAATTGTATAAGATATGAGTTTTAGATTGAAGTTTTCAGTGAGCCAGAGGAACAAAGTAAATGTCGTTTAGTTCCTCCAATTACATTCTACTAATTCATTAGTCTGTTAGTTCCGGATACCACCTAATCTTAAAATACTATATGTTTTATTTCTCAATGATACCATAGTGCTCCGACTTTGATTTTAGATATAATACCCACATTCATGTAGCAATTACATGCTTTACCTTTTAAAAAAATATAAAGTACTGATATTTTACTCTGAATCTTAATGTGCTCTTCAAAAATGTGTATAATTTATTCAAGTAATAAGTTGTCAAGATCAAGCATGAGGTAAGTTTAGAATAATGTCACCAGAGTAGTACATATTTTAAAGAATTACTTACTTTTTAAAAACCTATAAAGAGTTCATAATTCTCAATTGTAAAATGAGAAGTTTGTTTTGCCATCAAAAGTAATTTCAGACTACCAAATGACAGTAGTTGTTTTTTTGTATTCCTTGATTGAGAAAATATATATGTGCATATGATTTAAGGATTTCTTGCAATTGTTTGTAGCATTCCAACCCAGAATGCTCAGAGTCTAAAGACTGGGAACACCAGTATATATGATATACTAGCTTCATAAATCCCTAATAGAAGTTATTTACCACATAAGGATAAAAATTAGTATTTTGACTATAAATCTCTATACCCCCTCCATATTACTTTAAAAGTCACTTATAGTTTGTGTATTAACCTTTCATTTTATCTTTACTTATATAGAAAACATGATACATTAAAATTTTGCTTGCTATAATGTTTTATACTTTAGGATAAAGCTAGTTAGTGTGATTCTCTGTCATTTACATAATATACATTCATTCTTTAGTGGTATTTTGCTTTGAAAAATATTTTTTAGTTTATAATTTGAGTTTTGACAAACTCTTGCTTTAAAGGAAAATATTTATGGTGCTTAGTCCAGAAAATATTTTTTCATCAATACAACAATAAAGAATTGCATTTCATAGTTTTATACAGTTTTCTTTTATTTCTTGATCTTTTAATATGATTTCGAAGCATATTATAAAACACATCTGACAGTCCAAACCTCACAGTGTATAACTTGTTTATATCAGTCCCAGCTGTCACTCTTTGTTTTTCAAAATTTAGCATTAAATTCTATTAAGGATAAAAGCTAGGTTCTGTGTATTTGAGAAACTTTCAAAATATTATGACAGTTTTCAAATTTAAAAATGTATATTGGCCTGGATAAGCAAAGGACAGACCTTAGCAAGATGTAGCATTATTTATTAATTTCTTCTTATTGAATATATGTTTTCTCCAGCTTTCTCCTCTTATCAATAACACTGTGATGTACATCTTGTTGCAAATTGTTTTCTTTTTTTAGATTATTTTCTTGGTATTGGTTATATAGAAATGAGTTTATGAGGTTAGAGGGTATTAATCTTTAGAGCAGCTTTTTATACATTTTTGTTAAATTGTTTTACAAAAGAACTGGGCTACATTTTATTGCCATGGTTAAGTAACCATTTTTTACCGGACTTTGCTTATTGATGCCAGTTTGATGAATATATTGCTTTATAATATGATATAATGTATTATATACCACTTGGAAAACCATCTAGGACTGATTTTAATGAGAACTTGTGGCCTGGAGAGGGTAAGCTGATGGATGGATAGGGAAGGAGCATATAAGCAAATATAGAACTTATTGTCGAAGTTCCAGATCTCTGTTTCAGTGATGAATTCAGGGTATTCATTGTATTGTTAAAAGTAAACAAATAAAAAGGGGGGAATAAAAGAAGTTGAGCTCAGTTTGGTAAGGCTTGCAGTTAGAGTCTAGCATAGTCCTAAGATTGAGGTGGGTGGATAGGAAGGTCTGGTAGTGCCCATTCTGTCACATTAGAGTTTACTTGAGATTCCAGGCAAATCACTTTTGACTTTGGGTCCTTAAAATTGGGTGCAGAGAAAGACAAGGCTGTATGTTGGATTCTTGAGACAGGTTTTATTTCAGCCTTATAATTACCACAATCTGGTTGATAAGGCTTATATATAGAAACTTGCTGATTAGACTTAGTCTTTTACTCTAACATTGGGTTCCAGAAGAAAGTTTTATATATAACCATCACATTGTTATTGATTTATTAGTGAATGTTAATAATGTTACTGATTTGGAAATAAGATATATTTAGAACAGTTGGCAATGATTATTAGTGTTAATGATTTTGAAGGAGTAAAATAACATTAAGCAAAATGTAACTGTGGGTGTCATGCATATTGTACCAAACATGAATTTGAAATCAGATTTTATTGTATTTATAATTATATTTTATATGCACTTAACTGATACTTTTTTATACTTTTCTATGCTAACTCTTCAGGTTTATATAGAATCTTTTTTCAATGTCATTGCCAAATTGCAATAGAAACTCAATTTTATGTATCTTGCTTATTAACAGTTAAAGTTATATCTAAGGTTACTTTTTATTTTTTCCTTTATTGATGTTAGAGAGAGAAGAAGGGAGAGGGAGAGAGAAATAGAAACATCGATGAGAGAGAACATCGATTGGCCGCCTCCTGCGTGCCCCCCACTGGGGATTTGGCCCACAACCTGGGCATGTGCCCTGACCGGGAATTGAACCATTGACTTGGTGCATGGGCCGACGCTCAACCACCGAACCACACCGGCCAGGCCAAAATTATATAAATTTTAAAAATAGAATCTAAGTTGTAACTTCAGCTAATGATTTATTCTATGATAGTGAGTAAATCCAATTACAGAGTTATTTTTGCCATGATTTTTTTTTCTTTTCTTTTTAAAAATACTTTTATCATTCTTCTATTTAAGACCCAAAACCTTGAATTTTTTTTACTTCTGGATAGTCAATCATTCACTTAGAATTAATGACTCTTATTTTGAATATTTTTATATTTATGACTTTATAATTTTTCCTACTGTCATCTTCTTAGTCTAGATGCCAAAAACTGCACCCAAAGGTTAATCCATTACCTCCTAATTGGTCTCATGCTTCAGTTCTTCTCCAGAGAGATGGCAATGACTACCAGAAGGGTCCTAAGTCTGCTTCCTACTCATTCTATGACCTTGAGCAATTTGGTTAGCCAAAACAGGATTTTTTTTTTATATGGAGTATGAGAGATTTGTATATTTTATAGTTTTCTATAGTTCTCTATTTTTAAAAAGTAATTTTTTGAAGTGAATTTTACATGATATAAAATTCATCACAATTGTTTAAAGTAAACAATTATGCATGTGTTTTTATATATGTATTTTAATTGGCATTAAAACATTGACAATACTTTATAATAACCACCACCTCTATCTAGTTCCAAAACATTTGCATCACCCCCAAGTAAAACTTCTTACTATTGAGTACTTTTCTCTTCAGTCCCTTTACCCCCAGCTCTGGGAGTTATGAATTTATCTATTTTTCTCTATGAATTTATCTATTCTGGACATCATACAACGTGTGACCTTGTGTGTTTGGCTCTTTCACTTAACAATGTTTTGGAGGTACAGCCATGTTGTAGCATGTGTTAGTATTTTATTTCTGTTGATGGCTAAATAATATTCCATTATATATAGCATTTGTTCATTTATATGTTGATGGAAATTTGGGTCATTTCTACCTTTTGCTATTGTGAATAGTGTTGCTATGAACATGCATATACATGCACTTTTTTATGTACCTGTTTGTAATTTGGGGGGTATATGTCTAGGAGTGTAAATGTGGGGTCCTTTGGTAACTCTATGTTTAACTTTCTGAGAAACCACCAAACTTTTCCATAGTGGTTAAACCACATTACTTTCATCTGGCAATATATGAGTGTAGTCCCCTAATGTCTTTACTTGACCATGTCACACATTCAAGTTACCTGTTTGAAAATATTTAGGATAGGGACTTCTCTGTTTAATGATATCCTCGTCTGTAAGGGGGAATATAATAACTACCTTATAGGGTTGTTATGAAGATAAATATTATAATATGTGAAGTGCTTAGTTCAGAGCCTGGCAAATGGTAGCCACCAGAAAATATTTATTTCATACTGCTTTTTGAGAATACCACCATTTGGTCATGCTACTCCTTTTCTTAGAATTACTCATTGGCTCTCAGTTGCTTATAAAATCAATTTCACACTTCTGTGCTTAAGGTTCCAAGGTTCTATGTGACGGATCCACACACTTTGCTGTCTTTATTTCTTAGAATTCATCTCTGTACTTTTTCTCATTGTTCTTTGATCTACTCATGTTCTTTTCTACCTGGGAATCTTTGCTCAGGATTTTATCCTGTCTAGAAATCACTTCTTTCTCACTCTTCCCATCTTTAAACAGGACACACCACAAATAAATTTTCCACATGATTTCCCTGCCCATTTCAGCACATGATCTTTCTCTCCTCCTCTGAATTCTTTTTGTCCTTGACTGTGTACACCATTTACACTGATATTCACTCACATTCTGCTGATATTAATATTCAGTTGTTTCATGAGTGCTGGACTTATTTTCCCAAGGAAATGATAAACCTCTGAAGGTCAAGAACCATATCTAAAGTTTTTAAATCTTTTCCAGCAGTTTTAACAGCACCTGTAG